CCAGGGTGGAGGCAATGTCACGCTGGGGCTGCCTCAGTACTGCAGAGAGCAGCTGTGTGTCCAGAGAGCTGATATAATCCATACTTTGGATGGTGAGCACTTCCCTTTGTGTCCCTGGGGGTCAGGTCACACTGAGAAGAGCCCAGTGGGCAAGAGAAAAGGTGGGAGAGAGCTCATCAAACTGTTCCATCTGCCAATATCAGCACCTGCTGACCACAAAAGTGGATTTTAAACTAGTGTGGGGCCCTCCGAGGCATAAGGCCTCAGTATCAGCTGGCAGTGGTGGAAAGGAGCTATTTTTGTGGGTAATGTTGTGAGTAAAAGAGAAAGCCTTTGATGGCAATAAAAGCCAAAATTTCATCACACTGACTGTTATCTCCCTCTTTAGTCTTCATGTGGGTTCTGTTTATTTCTCTGCTTAAATATTTACAGCACCCCTCCAGAAAATAAGAATAATGACAATACAAAATTAATGATATTCAAAATAATGGTGGTGCTAGCTGTTTTTCAGTGTCTACTGTATGCCACAGTCTTGGTTACATGATTTTTGTGTACATTACCTCTAACTGTCTCAGTGACCCTGAGAGAAGGCTTCCCTAGTTTCACATATGAGGAAACAATGGATCAGGGAGGAGGTGTAACTTGTTCAAGAACCTACCTGGTGAGCCAAACAAACCTGGATTTGAACTGATGTTCTTATTCCTCTGAAGAGACCTGCATGGGTTTTGGCATCTTTGAATCAGAAGTTATTTTAACATCACCAGGAATAGAATGGAGTGAAGAATATTACTCCTGGCCATGAAGCTTTGGGATTTCAGCCTGTGTTCCTGAAATCTGCTCTTGAGAAGCAGAAAGAAGCTGAGAGGAAGGCTGCATATCTGCACCTGAAGATGCTGAAAATAGGCATTCCCTGCACCTTGATAATCGTCTGGGACCTGCTCTGCTTCCCCATCCCTCCTGTTCCTATCTTCATTTATCCCTGTCTCCCTTGCATTTTGCTGCCCCCATGTATGATTGCATACTCCCAAATTAAACCCTCCCATGCCCTCATATCTATCTTTTCATGCCCTAGTAGTGGTAATATTTTTCTCTGGACCAGGGAAAAGAATTAGCTTTTGAGCTAGAACTCATTTCTCTCTACTCTAATCCTATTCATCCTTAAAGTTCCAACTCTTATAGAACCTTCTTGAAGAGTTCCATATAATCCCTCTTCTCAAATCCTGTAGCACTTCTTACTGGCTGAATTACACTTGCCTGTGCCTTAGGTATTTGTGTGTATATCTCCCCTCACTCAAAGGCTTATACAGATTTGGAAGACAGGAGTTCTGTGAATCACCCAAAGCATATGCTCAGTGACCATTAATGAAAGAACAAAGGTTTTCCCCTTCTATGTTTTCTGTATTTATTATACCTAACTACACCTCTCAATCTCACACTGTCACTGCTGCACTTGTACATAGACCTGTCGCTGTGTAGAGACCTGGGACGTAAATGAGAATCTGATCAGACTCTAGTTCTAATGCTGCCTCCATCCCCACTCATTACTAAAATGCAGGAACTGCTGTCCTCTGTGAGTGCTGAGGAGTGATAGGGAGGCCACTCAAATCTTCAGCGCTGGTTTTGGGATGACTCAGGGTGGGGAACTCTGAGGAAACTTTTGTTCAAAGCAGTTTCAGATCCAGGAAATCAAACTCCTTCTTCCCCACCTCTTGTGTCCCTCCCCAGAATGTCCCAAAGCTTCATAATGTAGCATGATATCACCAGACATCAGCTCTGATGGGACAGTAGAACTGACCAGTAGTGATGCACGCCTTGCCTGGTCTCTGCTCTAGGACCACAGACAGGGCCAGTCAGGGCAGCTCCGGAGGCTCTTTCAGGACCGTGGACAGGGCCAGCCACCAGCTCACCTGAAGTACTTCTGAAGGCCAGTGAAGCTGATCATCCTCTTCCTAATAGACAAAGGAGGGGATCAAATGGCAGCCCTCCCCCTTGGGAATTTCACTCTTTGAACATAAAACAGGCCCTGTAGTTGTCTAAAGTGACCTGTACCAAGTTCTCTTTTCTTGGAGGAGAGGCCTTATGCATGAACCAGGATGCCACTTGCACACTAATTGGCTCCCACTGGAATTTAACTTACTCAGGTATTCCATCCGGGCCTTGTAGATTTTAGAGGGGTCTTTATTGCACCTGTACTGCATATGGGCTTGTGCAAATCAATATTTTTATATAAAATAGTGGAAAAAGCCATATTCTCTTCTGCCTTTGAATTTTTTTTTTTAGTATACACATTTTATATTCTGCCTTTAAAGCTATTTCTGTTGCACAGCTGCTTTACTGAGACTCAGACTCCTACGGGCCCCACTTGGTCCGACACGTACCTTGAATATCCTTTCACAGTGTTTGATTTTTGCAGCCGGTTGTATAATGAGGAAGGAGTGTGCAGCAAGTTTGGAGATTCCTATTAACCAGGTCACCCATGAATCTATTTTTGTGCACTTCTTTATTAGAAATAGCAGGGAACATGATGATATTTAAACACAGCTACTTATAGGAGCTTGGCTTAAAAAACATACCTTAGTAAGTTTTCTTTTCCCATTTGACATTTCAAAACATGTACTACATTTTCCCATCATCAAAACTCCTCTTCTCCATTTGCATTCCAGGATGTGACTAGAGACCATTAGAAATGACAGTGGGTATTCCAGGTGGTCATTCAGATCTGCAGTCCTCTGCCCAGTTAGGCCATATCTGGAGTGTTTCATTCTGTTCTTGGCACTGCCTTTGAAGGTGGCCCATAAAGAGATAACCAGACCAAGGTGATAAGGAAGGACAGGGGTTGGGAACAGAGAGAAGAGAGCTATCATCAAATAGTTGTGAGAAGATATCTCATGGAAAAGCAGAGTAAAACTGTTCTGTGTGGTATGCAAAGACAGAATCAGGAAAGAGAGCTGTGGTGGGACAAATTTTGATGCAACCTAGAAAATGCCTAACAGCCTGAGCTACCGGGCTCTCTAGAGCAGGTTGCCATGTGAGGGAGTGAGTCTCCGGGTATGGCAGGTGCCCGACTCCAGGGTGACTGGGTTGGTTGCCAGGAATGATTCTTTCAGAAGTAGCAAACCTGCTTCAGCTGTGAGACTCTGTGGTCCTTACTGTCTGGCATTGCTATTGGTACCAGGTGCATTGAAAAACCAAAGCTACTGTTGTCTCCTTGGAGCAGAAACTGTGAATCATTTTGAATTGCTGAACACAAAGAGCTCTGGATGGGCCATTACAGCTAAGGCCAAAGGTAGAGAGTAAGAGAGTCTGTAGTTGCTGAGGGAGACAGCATTTTTATTTCAGGCAGATATGTTCTTTTGTGGCCCAGCTCTTTAGATGATCTCAAAAATGACTTAAAATGGACCACAATCCTTCATTTTGACACATGGATCAAGAGGTGGCCAGCATCTTACCAACATTAGGCTATCATTGGAAATGTGACAATAATCCCATTCGAATAAAGAGGGTTTTACAGTTCATGAAGTCCCTTCTCCTCTATTTCTCCTTTCCATCTTCACCACAGTTCTCTAAGGAGGCATGGCTGACATTATTACTTCAATTTCTATAGAGAAAACACTAAGAGCTGGAGGGTTTTGTGACTCATCCAGTATCTCACAGCTGGCAGGTCTCCTTGGGCCTGGGATGGGTCTGGAGTGTAGAAAGTGGAGCCATGCAACCTGGGCAGCATGTATGGCTATGCCAATAATCAACAGTGTGACTTTGGCCAATCTCAGATGGACAATGAGGGCATTGGAGTACAATGAACCCCAAGGTACCCCCAAGGTACCCTGGTATCTGAAATTCTCTTGTTTCAACATATTACATGATGCTGCCCAGCATGCCCTTGCTTTTGGTCTCGCAGGCAGGCATTAAAATGAAGTGGACTTTGTGAGTTGGAGGGAAGCATTCTGATGTCCTAGTGTGTGCTTCTAGGTGGCAATATTACACTTCAGCTGCTATGAGATACCTTTGTTACAGATCACTTTCGCCAGCTTGAGGCCTTGACTGCATTCTGATTCAGGGTTTGGAATTTGAGGATTTGTTTGTGTTCCTTTGTGGGCTTGGGTGCAGTGTGGAGTGGCAGAGGTGGCCTTTCTAATTTTGATGACCCTAAATGTAGAGGATTCAGCATGAATGGTGAGGGTATAAGCTTCCAAGAAAAGTTGTAGTTTAGTCTGATTTTATTTTATTTTTGATTTTCTAAGTATAGCTACTGAACTCAAAACTGGAGTTTATGTTGCTTATATGTTGAACAAGACTTGACAAAGCTGACTTGTTCCTATGTAGTTCAGAAGTAATACAAGTTGACTGTAGAAAATTTAAAAATGAAGATAATTACACAAGCAATTACCTATAATCTGCCAAAGATAACTGCTATTAACATTTTGTTAAAACTTTTTGGAATGTCTTCCTATGTACCTATGTATTTGACAACAAATTTATTATAATACTGTGCATACTGATCTATAAACATCTTTTGTCATGAATGGTAAACTTTTTTCTATTCCACTAAATATTCTTTTAAAGAAGGATCTGATTTGAGTTTGGATTTGGGAGCCACATAATATCCTGGTATATGGAAGTAACCTATCTCCTACTGTTGGTATATTGAATGTTCACAATATTTTATTAATACAAATTATATATGAAAATATCTTTTCACATAAATCCTTGACAATACATTAGATGTAAGTCTGATCTGTCAAAAAAAGAAAACTGAAGCTGGCTTCCTTTAGGTCATAGCAACCCTATTGGGCATTTATGGGAAACCTATCAAACTATATACACTTCCTATGGTGAACTGACACAGTAACACTAAAGGTTTCAGGAGATCTGCCCCTTACCCCATCACCAGATTGGATCGGTTTCTGTGCGTCTGGATTTCCCAGTCAGCTAATGCTCTGCATAAAGGTCAAAGCAGTGGACTGACTTTTCTCTTTTCTTTTCTGTTGATTCTCCTTTAGCCTGATGAAGTCCTCCGATATCGATCAGGATTTGTTTACAGACAGTTACTGCAAGGTGTGCAGCGCACAATTGATATCCGAATCTCAGCGAGTGGCTCATTACGAGGTAAGGGCAGCTCTTCCCGCTCAGGGTTCTCAAATGGGAGAGTAGCGTGGATCATGGTGTAGGACTTGTGTATACCTTTGTTTGGACTGGGGCAGATTTTAAGAACCACAGGGCTTGAGCCTTTAGTCTGAGATTAGGCCAGGATACGTGTGCCTGGGCAAGGCTGGGAGCAGGGCCTGGGGGACATCTCAGGCCCTGGCTGCTTCCTAGACTCTGGATTTTGCTTTGCACCTCAGGCCCTGGAGACTCAGTGGACTGCCTCTACTTGTCAGATCTGTCACTGCTCATCCGTGAAGTTCCTTTTTGGGTGCACAGGGTAGGATGCATTAGTGCCAGCTGCTCTTCCCTTCTATGACCCTGCAGACAATCTGGGAGGCCTTTTGTTAATTGCTGTCAGGAAACATGATTGCATCAGTGATTCAGCACCAACTCTGTCCTCCTGATGGCCTCTGCCCTATGTGTGTTACTAGCATAAGGACTTCCTCCGTCAAGTTATAGCAAAGTTTTAAAGCCCAGACCCTCTTGAAAGACATAATTCAGCGGCTTTGGCTCTTAGGATGGAAGAGCAAAGATGGCTCTTTCTTGGCCCCCTGTGAGGGAGCAGAAAATGGGAAGAGGGGTTGGTCAGTGACTGAGGAGGGAACAGGTGCCATGCACAGGGGTGGAGGTGGGGGTGAGGGAGCTGGGGCCCCCAGATGCCGAGTGCTGCCCAAAGCATGTTTGCTTTTTTTTGCAAGAACATATACCAGCAGTAACATGAGTTTTCAAGTGTAATAACTTACAAGTAATTTCCGATTGGAGGGCTTAGCCAGCAATTTTCTTTTTGTCTGACAAGTCTGACAAATGCCAGTTGTCACTGTCACTCACCAAACTCCTCCGAGCCTCAGATTCCTCTGTGCACAATGAAAGTAATAATAACATGCACAACGTACACACCCAGAAACACAATACTGTGACCCTGGGTACTTCTCAGGGCCTTGTGGGGACCAAATGAGACCTATTGAAATAGTATTTGTGGAAATGCTTTGGAAGCTGTAAAGTGTGCCAAACATGCAAGATTATATTGCTTTTACTATTAACTGTTGTAGCAATATTTTGATGAAGGCAAATAAAACTTGCTCTACAGAGAAAACTTTTAGAAACCAGAATCTGTGAAAGAAGTTAACATATTCTTTTGTCAATAGGCCACCGAGGGTTGGCAGTAAATATGAACTCAGAGGAATTATCTAAAATGGAAGATGCCTATCTTTTGAAATGAAGAACTTTCTAATTTCTGTGGATATTGTTTTATAAACCCACATAGTTTTATTAGTATGATTTTCCCAGTTAAGGAAAATCAGGGAATTTGTTCCTTCTCTGAAATTCCTATTAGTCCTTTATGATCTCTACTTATTACACTTTTTTGTGTTCATTTTTAATCATCTTGCTAGGTACTTGAGGAAAGAAAGAGTTTTATGCATTTGCTCTTCCATCATTCCTGGAAGAGTGCCTGTACCTTGTAGATGTTCACGGAGCTGTTTGTTTACAGAAATAACCTGGTGATACAGTCCTACATGGCTTTGTTGCTACTGGAGCTAGAAAGGTAATGTCAGAAATTTGAGGAACATTTTTTAAAAAAAAAAAAAAGTGAGAGTTACTTGATGTAGGGTTTAGTTATTTGAACTCCAGTTTTCCTGTTCCTATGCTGGACCCTAGCTGTGACACATTTAATTGTTCAGAGGCTGTGTTAGTATTGGTTACATGTCACATAGGTGAGATAGGGAAAAGAGAGCAATTGCAATAGACCCGCAATTTGCAGTGTTACACGTCATTAAAACAACATTGAATATATTCCTATTAGACATGGATGGGACCCTGAATCTCTGAATGATGGTGCTCTCCCTGCCTCCTGGCAGAGGTGGAACACCTCTTTCAGTGAGAAATAGCATGGGTATTCTTGCCCCAAAGCTGCTGGGGGCACGAACAGTGCACAGGCAGGATTGGGGACCTCTTGTGTGGCCTCTGGTCTTCCAGCTTCTGTCAGGAGACTCCCCAGATGTCTTTATCTCTAAGAGGATGCCTTCCATCAAGTGAGAATTGATATTCCGATTCTGTTCATCTGCCCACTTCCTACATGTACCCCCTCTCTACTGAAATTGCATATAGAGTGTGTCTCCATGAGTCAGAAATCTCACTCAATTCATTGAAAATGTTGTCCCACTTATTCTCAATGCTCTGTCACTGACTTACTGCTTTTGTAAGTTTTTAGTCTTCAATTCAACCACGTAATATCCCCAGCTTCCCTATGGGACAAATCAGTGGGAATCCACCATGTACTTTCTGTGTGCCCAGCACTATTAGTGTTAGTTATTGCAGGGAATTCTGAAGCTATATGCAAAACACTCTCTGCTCCCCAGAAGCTCACAAACTTCATTGGGAGGAAAAGCATGGTATAAATATGTGCGTGATATTGAGAACATGATCTGGAGAGTTCTGCTGCCTGCTTCTAAGGAGGTGCTGATCTAATTTGATATAAACAGTGTTAATTCTCCTGCCCATTTGGCTTTCTGTACTGAGCTGTTAACTTTGTAGATCTTTGCATATTCCAAATTCAAGGGAGTGAGTCATCATCAAGAGCTGTTTTGGTTAGGAAAGATTTATTGGGAATGTCATGACTTATCTAGGCCTTGATGGATGGGTCAAGCTTTGGGCCTTGCTGCAATGAGAAGCCTTGGTTTCCTCCAGGAGAAGGTTTTCCTCTGGGCTGAGAAGGCTGACCTGGCTGGACTGCAGGGTTTGTGTTAGGGCCGGGAGGCCAGCAGCAGCAGGCACAGGTGGTGGGGTGAGGAGGTAAAGGAAAGAGGAGTTTGGACTCCTGTGAGCCTCAAGCACTCAGGTGCGTGACGGTATAATTGAGAATTTCTGAATGACAGTCCATGGATGGCCCGGGTGTACTGGTGGGAGAAGAGCAGTTTGGGGTACGACTCCGCCATGAAGCCAACATGCTCGTCCTCTGAGGAGGGGAGAAAAACACAACAGCTGGGTTAATGCCTAATAGCCTCACACCCCATTTAAAAGACCGAACCTTTGTATGGGAGGACAAAGAAGCCTAGTATGTGTCTAATGAACCACCTCCTTCCATGCTATCCTTCTAGAATCTCTTTTTGAGACTTTAAAGTATGCAGTCCTGAGGTGAAATAAAAAAAATGGGGAACATAAGGACATTATTATTTTTCTTACTTGCTAAGCATTAATAGCATGTTAATGTTTTGGTGGAAAATATAATTAGATGTTGTCTCTGCTCGCTGGATGAATAGTGTCTGAATCAATAGAACGAGTAGACACAGACACAGAGGCGAGGACAAAGCTTTCCAGTGAGAGTGCCTGGGTGTGACAGAGGTCAGGCAGAGCGTCCCAGGGAGGCCATTGCAGCAGTTTACTGTAGTTTCAAGGGGCTGAAAAGTAATTTCCTGCAAAGAGAAAGATTGGTTTGTGTGAATGAAGGAATGGTTTTCTGACATGTAGGAAGAAGAGCATTTATATGTCGAAGACCACGAGAAATGAAACCAAAAGGACTGAGAGATTATTTTTCTGAGTCAAGCTAAAAGATGAATGAGCAGATCTTGAGGCAAAGCCAGAACTCTTCCTAGGCAGGCCCAGTGAAGCCTGCCATGACTGTGCCAGCCCCCGTTGCTTGCCCCTTCTTCTGAGCCCTAATATGTTGTGGTGCTGTGCCATGTGTGCAGCTAATTGTTCTTTGTGAGGTCAGTGGCTCAGGTGTCCTGGCATCTGAAAACAAGGTTGTAAGCTTCCTGAGGGCAGGCAGGAGTCATGCATTGAGCTTTTTCATGTATTTCTGCAGTGCCCTCCAAACAGCTTTGCCCATGGCTGTTGGGGGAGGAGCCAAACAGCACTCTTCTGGTCTTTGTAAGCTGAGTGGTGGATGGGATGGAAGAGCTTCGTGGGTAGAGGTAATATGGTGCAAATTAAGGTCCCTAACTTGTACTGATTAAAGGGTTATGACTTGAGTGCTGTCTCTTGTTGAGTCACTCACAACTCCTTCTCAACTTTGCCTTTTTCTCTTCTTTTGTCTAATTGCTTGCGTCAGCCTGTGGCCTAGATAGCTCTTTCCCCACGCATGAGAGGTGGGTTCAGTGCCATGTTGTGTTCCTGCAGCCCATGCGTCCTGTGAGCACTGCACGAGGTAGACTGAGTACCACCGGGTTCACAGGATCCACTTGTCTCCTGGGTCCTGTGCGGGCGTGCTCCTTGGGTTGCAGATGCTGACTGTGTGAGGGCAATAAGACATCTCCACAGCTAGGTTCCTGTGGGGATGCCCTCTTTGCACTCTACCTAGAGACGTGTTGCAGCCTTCAAGTCCTCTGCAGTCATGACGTGATTCATTTCTCTCAGATGCTATTCATACGACTATTGGTACCTTTGCCCAGGCTAAAACAATTCTTGTTACCCTCCTGATGTCAGAGGACTTCAAACTATTTCTGATTGCCTGATAGTCTTAACCTGTTCTTGACTTTCATTGAAGACTCTTGAGTGTCTATAAAATCTGTAACTATTCTTATACTTTCTGTTGTTTTATTTCAGCAGACTTAGTCATTTTAGCTTTTATCAGTTGTTATTGGTCAAAGTAGTTCATGGGATCACAAAATGAGTGGTTACTAGAGAGACCACAGTGAAGTAAAATGACACTAGGCCATAGAACACACTCAGTGCAGGATATCACACAGGTTGGCTAAGAACAGTGTTAGAGGGTATGTGTGCTTAGTGCCCATTGGTTCAGAGTAGGCAGGGTATGCTCTGCACCATGAGTTCTTATTTGCTGACAGCATATGACATCACAGGAATTTAGGAGCTGGCTTCATTTCACTGGCTAAAACTCAATCACATGGTCCCACTGAGCTGTAGGGGAAGTTGGAGATATAATTTAAGTGTGAGGAAAATATAATGGTTTCAGCAAACATAGGATTATCTCTGGCACAGACTCCTCCCATCCATTTTATCCC